AGTTGAAACCAAGCCTGGGGTTGATTTGGATACACCTATGTTGGAGGAGGCCTGTTTGGTCTTGGCACCTGGCATTCTTCTTCTTCCCCCACCTGTTGGTACCCACTTCTGCTGGAGGTAGCAACCCGAGAGTGGAGATTTTGTGTGGCTGACAGTGTTCCAGTACCACTTAGTGGGAACGACCTGAAAACACACCTAATCATTAATCCCTCAGGCATGTGTCCTGTCTCTTAGCTCTGTTCCCCCTTCCTCACCTAGGATGTCAGGTTGCCCCTTCCGTCCCCATCAGAAACAGCAGACATACTGTTACTCACATGCTCCCTCCCCAATCCCCTGCTGCCTTGTTTGTCTCTGCCCACCTTCCCCTCCCTATGTTTACTGGGACACTGGCCTCCCATGGGAAACTTGAGCTACAGTTTCTTATGACTTTCTTGAGTTACTCCCACATCTAGTTTGTCATGCCCCTTGGTCCACACCAGTTCTGAGTTGGTAATGGGGGGCCAACCAAGGCAAGGGCACTGCCAGAACTACAGCCCAGGGGCTGGACCTGGAGGGGTGAGAACTGACATGGGGCTCCATACCACACTCATACCCTAACCCCACCCTCCCATGAGGGGAGGAGGGAAGTGCTCATGCACACAGGGATGCTGTTCCATCCCACTGGGCTCCCTGGGTGCAGCATCGCTGCCCGCCATAGCTAAGACAATCCATGGGAAGGGCCCAGCTTACATACAGAGTTGCCGCCACACCCAGCCACTCATGGAGACAAACTGTGACCTGCCACCAGTCCTCCAAAAAGGGATGAGAGGGGAAACAAACATGCATGTGCGTGAAAGTGTGGGAAGTGGACGGAAGGCCACAGTGTGGGCCTGGGTGGAGGGAGTCGCTTGTCCCGGGCATGGGAGAGGGCGGTGGTGCCTCACCCAGTTGTGGCATGGGCCCAGTCTTTTGCTCAGCCCCACTTCATGCTTGAGCCTGACCAACCCAGCCCTTAGAGCCAATTCTTATCCCAAAGTTACGGTCTCCAAAAGACACTAATATAACCTTCCAGGAACAGCCAAGATAATGGGTATTGCTATGGTCTCTGGATATCTCATTTAAAACTCCCTACTCTTTTGGCCTCAGTATAAAATAATTTCCTCCAAATGTTGACACTAGTCGTCCCTTTATGACACTGTGATTGCCTGGGACTCCCTCTGAGTTCCCTTTTCTAACTCCACAGGCACCTCTCCAAGTGATTCATGCTTTGTTAAAGAGGAGGCCGGCCATTTGGCTGCCTGCTTTTGGTGATATAAGGCTATAAGGCAAGATCCTAGAGGTTTTCACTGCATCAGTAGGATGGACCAGTTTGACCAGTCACTACATTTCCTTTGGTCCAAGCCACAGACGGCAGAAGGAAATAGTCTATTCTTGCTGTCTCAAAGGACCAGATAAATGGAGACTTGTTCCAGATCTCTGGCTCATTAATGAAGCAGTCATATCCTGCCACCCAGTTGTTCCCAATGCCTATACTCTATTGGCTCAAATACCCTCAAAAACCCAATATTACTCTGTACTAGACTTAAAGGAGGCTTTCTTTTACATTCCTCTGCATCCTGACAGTCAGCCTCTGTTTGCCTTTAAAGACCCCACTAACACCTCACAACAGCAAGCTAGCCAATTTGTGGTCCTTCTGGAACAACATGGAGCTGGGTTCCTTGGACACTACCTCTGGCTGGCCCCCTTTTTATGCTCTTTCTAATATTCCTATTTGGGCCTCGTATAATAAATACTCTCTCCAGATTTATATCTCAATAGGTCCAGTGGATCAAACTCCAGCTCTTAGTCAAGGAATATTTACCTCTGCCTATGCATGAGCCCTCCATCCAGACTACTGGGGGCCTTTGGAAACTATATGGGTCATCCGCTGAGACAAGTGCCACCACACCTACACCTGTAGCCCCATTGTCAGCAGGAATCAGGTAGGAATCATCGCCCCTCTCCCCAACAGCAGGTGAGTACCTGTCTCAGAGGGGAGATTTGTTGGGTCTGGGGGCTTAAAGGACAGATGAGTGAGTGAGTATCCCATCCCCCATGGAGAGCACTCTGAGCCCTGCACCCTGAGGAGGCGACACATGGTCTCATAAATCTGCCACAGGGCTGATAGACAGGATGCTCTCAAGGTTGTTTCCCCCCTTCCCAATAAGGGGCAAACAGACCAGCTCATTGAAGAGAGTCCATGTGTGCAAATCCATGGCCAATGGAAAGAACCTACCTAAGCCCTACCCTAACCCAGAGTTAAAGCATCCATAAAAAGCCCCAGCCTTCACCTGAGCAGGAGCCACTGGTTTCCAGGCTCTGCTGCACTGCTCTAGCTGCAGCTCTTCCATTCTCTAATAAATCCTACTTTGTGTGCTGATCTTGTGTCTCATGAGTCAATCTGCTGCCTCATGAGCCAGTTATTTAGCCCATGAAGGCAAGAACTCTCAACACTGGCCTGCAACAAAAGATATATTTATAAAATGAAAAGTTTCAACTTCATTTCAAATGAAATCTCATAATCTTGTTGGTGCATCCCTGCTTCAATGATGGTTGCCTAGGAAAGTGGATGACTTTGTTTTGCAACTAACACAATGATGTTCTGGTTTGGGACCGTGAGCCCAACTTGCTAACACTAACCTTTTCACCTTCTGCCCTGGGGACTTACTCAGTCACAGGTGATCCACTTGATTTTTTATTTTTCAAAGTCTTCACATCACAGAAACCCAATGGGTGTGATTTCTTTCTTTTCAAAACATGGGAAAATTGGAGACTTGACTACAACTAACCTAACTTGTTAAATCTGGCTCTGGAGAATGAACAAGATACTCTTTAGGATGGTGATTTGCATAGCTTTATTAATGGCAAATGGTGTTTTCAGAAGACCTTGGTTCTTGCATTCCAGTGTGGACCCTGTTTTGATGCTCAGTTTTATAATATATATATATATATATACACCAATGTTTATCTAGCCAATGTCAGATATGCCAATATTTATCTGATGAACAGAGGTCAGGTAAGCCAATGCTTATCTGACAGACAGATGTCAGGCCTAAATGATAGATCTTTTAACATTTGTGATAAAAAGTAGAAATGTCAAGACCTTATTAGGTAGAATGTACCTCAGATAAAAGAACTATATAGCTGTTTACATTTTTAACTCTGTAAATGATTTATAACATTTAGATACACATACAAGGCACTAGTAGTATTAGAACCATTTAAAAACGTTTTTACTTAGTTTAAATTTAGTTTTTTTAATGTTACCAGAAAAATGCCTTAGGGTTTTAGCAGGATGTAAAAGAATTGTAAATAATTTTAAATGGGCCATGAACAGAACTTGTTATTTTTGGTTAGCAGGATCAAAGCATCTTCCAGTACTTAAGGATACAGCCAAGTGAGTATGTTGGCTTCTCCTATGCTGGCTGGTAGAAAGAGAGAGAGGGAAGGGCGGGGAAAAATCCATTCATCCTTCTACCGCTGCATGAGGGCTCCTAAATTATTATTCCCTATGCTGCCTGGTAGAGAGTGAGAGAGAAGAAAAGGAAAGGAGGAAAGTTGCCCTTTCGGAGAGAGAGAATAAGAGCTTTTGAGATTCATGGAGCATTCCCCTGGCATCTTGAAAAACTCAATTCAGGTCCCTCTGATCTGTTTCTGTCAGATGTCTCTTGAGCAAATGAGTGGCAGAATACTCTTTCAGGTCATCCATTCTCCTAAGGGCCCATCTTTTTCACCCTTGCATGAGAGTTTCTAGATGGGGTGTTGGTCCTGAATGTTAACCCAACTATTAAAACATCAGAGCTATTATGCACTGGGCAAAGAGGCTGATACCAAAACAACATGTAAAATAAAAAGATAACAATATATGGGAAGATAATCTGTTTGAGTGTTAAAAGGAAAACATCTAAATATGAACTGTTGTAACCAGTACAAAGTTAACTATCAATCCAAATCACACCAAAGTAAGCTTTGCCAATACAAACCCATCGCTCATGGTCAGTTTTCACATCAGGCTATGGGGTTGTAGTCAGCTTATAAACTGAGAAAAATGGGGGACTATGTACATTTTAAAACAATAAACCAATTAAGATTAATGTCTCAAATGATTAGATACAGAAACAGAGATAAGGGGTTAAGCATAAAGTTAGGAGACCCAATGACTGAGAGCCATGGCTTAGATGTTGCTAAGAAAGTATGTCGTAGACTGCTGATGTTAACTAACAGAATGACTTGGGGCCCACAGCAGGGTTGTTGTTGACCTGCATGCAGCCCCTGGAGCCCAAAAATAACAGGCTCAATCATTGGGAGTTAATAATATGCATAATTTAGTATTTTAGGATTAATTACATTTTGTAGACTTTAAAAAACATAGGGTTTTATCATCCCTTCTGGAAGGTGATCTTTTGTTTAGTTTTGGTAAAATTTTGTATTAGCCTACAACACCAAAAGGTTTTGATGGTTATTTTGATAAAACAGAAATCCATTTTGTTTAAATACACATTAAGTACCTTAAATTTTGACCTTGGAAAACTTTTTAGGTTAACTTTAAATTGTAGCCAACCCAATCACACATATATAAAATTATAAGCTTCTTTTGTATCTTGAAACTACCTTTGTAAAAAAACCAAATTTAGATAACAGTTTTTAAATAAAACTCTTAGTATTCTTATACCTTAAAGACTTAGGAAGAAAATTAAACCATATTTTTAATAATAGTAATCTACAAGAACATATGGACCAATAATCCTAATTATGAAAGAGTTAAATGTAAATTACTCATGATGGAATGAAACAGATTGAGATTATTGTTTATAAATTTTTTTTCTTTTTGATTGTTTAGTCCTAAGGCAGAGAAAGTTTAGGGCCTGGTTGAGATTAGAACTTTGGATAACTTTTGAGACAGTTGTACATATCACCTTTATAAAAAGTAGCTTAGAAACCATCCAAGAAGACACAGACACCGACACAGATATAAGACCAACATGCCAAAGAAGAATAAACAGCATAATGAGCTAAAAATCAGTGGCCAACAGGTACATGGTTGGAGACAGGACTATGACATACACAGAAAGCACACAATGGACACACAAGATAATCACACAGATTCATAGTGGACTCTCAAA